ATCAATCAACACATCGCAAAGCAGGCTACGCCATCGATTTAACCATCAAAACATGATTTTACTTTGTCTTTTCGGGAATACTCTCTAAAGCAGTGACGTAGCGTGCTTTACGATAAATCGATTGATCTGCCATTAAAACCTGCGGAAAAGGATCGATAAACAGGTTTTTTGCAACGATCACCTTAAAAGTCAATTCCTTACCATAGCCTCAAATGGAGAAATATCGATAGTTAATCGTTCATGCTCCGTCATTGCTTTGAAGACGAAGACCACGCTGACGCGCGAAGGAAGAACGCCATATGAACATTCGAGAGTTGCCAAAAGCCTTCAATAAAATGTTTATTTTTAAGGAATGATGTTCATATTTTACCTCGACATTTTCGGGGCCTTTAGGTGAAATTGCGAACAAAATTATCTGAAAAATTGGAAGGAAATTATTCAATAGTTTACCAGGAAATTTGTGTGTAATCGAAAGAAATTTGGCAACGCCTGAAGGTTCATACGGCGTTTCTCCTTAGAACGGCAGCAAAGGTCCAAATTTTCCAGTGTAATTTTTCTTTAAAACAGTAGAGCAAGAGAGGAGATTTTGAAACTTGGCAATTGAGATTCGTGCTTTCATGGTTTCACAGTCAATATTTAAGATAAATTGCGGAGGAGACTTAAGGGTCCCGTGTTTCCCGGAGGAAGTCCGAGTGAGAGGATAGTCGCGATGAGAAAATAGAGAAAGGGAAGGAAAAATCGAAATAATTAATTATGTTGAATAAAGAGGAATAATGGGTGTACATATCAAGTTTGTGATAGCCTCGGCGCCAGCAACACATCTAGGCCAGTGAACTCAGTTGCCCCTCAGCTGTAAATTGATGGGATATCGTGAGAAGTAGAGACAAGGAGTTATCAACCGCTCAAAAGTAAAATAAAATCTTGGACCGTGAAAAGATGTCGCTCTTGTTTTATTGCCCGTTCCTTTTATCCTGTTTCGTGAGCACGGAGGAAAATCTCATGGATGAAGATGTAATGGTGAAATAAAAGTTTGTTTGGCACGAATCAGTGCAGTAATCAAAAATTGAAATGAATATAGGGTGTCGTCGGGTTGAAGTCCCGATTTTTTGTGTCAAAATGAGCTTATTTTAGTTTTTCTTGTTTTGTTTTCAAAAATTTCTCCTGCCAACGACTGTCTAAATTCTAAAAAAATTATCTACTTTGTATTCAAAACTCCAAAAATTGTGTTTCTCTTTCACGTTTCTGAGTCATACTTTGACCCCGAGGTTCTCCTCCTGTGGAGCTTGGATGCTGCAGAGCACCGAGAGCGGCTTTATATATGTATGAGTTTCTTTTTAATGAACGATTCGATTTTGGTTGCTTTCGGTCGCATAGACGCTTATTTTGGAATGATAAAAGAATCTTATGAGGGTTTTAATCGTATCTTCTTATGGAAATAGTTTTCCATGATGCACCACTGTTATTCTCCTGATCTGGTGGCAATTTAATGTTACCTTTGACTGCAAGTTAAGATTCTGAAAATGGTAAAACAAATCTCCAGAAGTTTGTACGTGAGGGCATCAATTCTTTTGCGCCGCCTTGCCTCGACAAAATGTATACGTTTAGGTGAAGGAGTTGTTTGCGTTAAAAAAGAACAATTTGTTATTAGCTCGAACGATCTTTTTTCGTAATTAACAAAATTTTTGATACTATCGGTAATAAAAATAATAGTGTCCACTGTTACAGCAGAAAAAACGAAGCAATAAAGCGAATAACAGATATTTACAAACATTTTTCGGAGAAAAAAGAACATCATTTGGTTTGTGTTGAACCCTTACTCTTCTGCCTGTTAATCCACAAATGAATCTACACCCGGTCGCAACCGTTTCATAATCTTTGTCATTCTAATGATTTACTGTTTTTACGTCATGTCTAGAATATCCATCTCAATGGTTCAAATATATAATGATTTCTATACATCTGTTCAGATAAAATATAAATTCAAAACGGATTTATAAATTTTACTGGCTCTTTACTTTCGTCATTTACTTACATATCATACATGGGGGGTTTCACTCTACGAAATTATATATTATTCGAAAAATTCAACGATTTATTCAAGTATGTACAGACATTTTATGAACAAAGTTTTATAAAGTTTCAGTCATAAGAGTAATGTAACTTTGGGCCTCAAGGATTTAGTAAGGGGATAATACGCTATGCTTTTTACATAATTATTATTGCTTAGAAAATTGTGACGGGCTGAGAATATGAATGTATCGAAATCGGACAGACCAAAATTAATGCATGAAGAGCATGTTTTGCATTTATTCACCATTTTTTTCATTTGCAAAAAATCTAATTACTCTGCTTAGATAACTGTAAAAAGCTGCATCAGAGCACGGGAAATAATGAGTGCCGGTTAAGTTCCAAAAAAGAAATTAGCTTGAATCATCTTAGTCGAATATATTCATAAAAACGCAAACCTTAAAAAACAACATGCGAACCCAAATGTATGAACTATAAAGTAAACCCTCATGGAAATTGAAACCTTTTAAAAATCCGTTAACCCTTTCTTGTGAAAAAATTCACACTCTGTCCAATTTCTAATTTTCACGTTTTTGTATATTGCAGGCGTTACAGTAATGGTTGAGTTCTAAAAACGCACATCAATTTCATTGTCCTGACTGAGATGGCTCCCTTTATTCATTTTCTCCATGGCAAAATCTGAAAATAAATAGGAGCGGTGCTGGTATATTGTTTAATACAAATACATTTGTTCCAAAGTAAAACTTCAGAAGCACCAAGTTGAGTAAAAAAAAGTATGCAGACTTAAAATACATCCAAATCTTTCAAATGCCACTAAAAATAATTGTCAAAGATCTTACAACGTGATTCTTTTAGAGCGAGTAGGATAAAATTTTCGGACGGGCTAATTTCTGTAATTTTAACGAGATGAAAGCTCAAAATATTCTTAAACAATGAAATTAAGTGCTTCTTCATGGAACGTAAATTTGGCAGGAAGGAAACTAACAAATACAGAATTCTCATTATGGAAATGATGATGTGCCTTTTCAAAACTTACCCATTTAAATTTTAATACACCACTACAGGCGATTACATTGTATATTCGGAGAGCGTAAGTAGAGAGAGTAAGTCCTAGTCGCAGGGTTTACAAATTCTTCTTGAAAAATAAATTAAGTGATCTTTATTTTCTTATTTTAAACCTTAATCCAATGGGAAACAGCTGGGGAGAGAGGAAATTTTAGACTATACTGGATTTAATGGTGAGTTAGCTACGTTGAAGCGAGTAATTTTGGTATTAATTTTTGATTACTCGAACATGCATTTAGGTTAAAATCATTCAAATAAATTGTTTTTTATAAATGTACCAGAGGCGAAAATGATGCCATTATTTGTACAAAGTTTCTTTTTAGTGTGCATGCCTTACAATTGAAATGCATAGGATCGTTTGTAAGTATTGTCACATATTACAAAATATTAATAAAAGAAATGCGTGAAATTAATGGAAATGCATAGTTTATATCATTGTTACTTTTCGTGTGCCTATTGTAAAAGTGACGCCATGAGAACATGACGGAATATTTGAAAAGCAGACAGTTCTGCCGTTAAAAAGACCAAAATTGAAAAAACGGTTGTAAAAGAAAGATACATATCCCGGAAGAGAGCAAAATAACACTTTAAAATTTATTTCTCAGATATATTTATATAAAAGCGCAAAAATCATCAGACTTTAAATTGCATGATCCAAAATTGAATGTAAACTAATGCCTGAAATAAAATCTAGGAAAGTAGTTGAGATTTTTGACTGTCCAATGGGCGGATGAGCTATACTTGTACTTTTCACATTGATATTTTCTGTTGATAATACAAAGAGAGCAACCTAACTGAATGAGTGTTTCAGGGTTAAAGGTAATAATCTACCCCTCCCCGGTCCGTAACAAGACATTTTTTCGTGTAAGGAGGGAATTTAAGTGCTCGGCTGATAGCGCTGATAGGATAGTGTTAGGTTTTGATTCCACAGTTGGGAAACACTCAAAGCAGAATTTGTTCTGCTAGAAAAGAATTTATTATAGAGATTCTCTCACAAAAAGAAGTACCTATTTTCTCTGATGCCTCTCTTTGACTCACTCGATCCCTCCTCTCCTCTCGTCAAAACTAGATTTTCAAAGAGGAGAAGAAAGCGTTCAAAGATGGGTACACCTTAAAATTAAACGCGTCATATCGGGTGAGGGTTTGAAGAATGCTTCAATTGCTCATATAGTACAAAACAGGTTTAGTGGTAGAGGGCAAGGGACTAGATTCTTTGTAAATCTACATTTCCAATCTACGTTTCCATGCTATTCAATTGAAAAGTCAGATATTACACCAAAAGGTACAGAGTAACTATGGAGATATTTAAAACTTTGATGAAAATTCATAAAAACTTATAGCAAAATTGACCCGACAGTTTCGAGCATGAAAATGGACTTGTATTTTGTCACCGATGATATAGAATTCGAAAATGTGCAAAGTTCAATTAGACGTATTTCTGCCAAACGGAACTATGTGCATTATAACGTGAGCCCTGTTATGCATATATTCTTATGGGTCTCAGGGCTCATTTTTTAATGCACATAGTTCCGTTTGGCAGAAATACGTCCAATTATACATGTGTCCAGCGTGTTACGAGCGCGCTGAAATATTTAGAAACGTCATGTGCCGTTGAATAACCTTAAGTTACGACTTAAGTTAAGACTTAAGGGAATCAAATCAAAAGAGCAATGGAAAAATTAGGAATTGCATTTGCATGTTCCAAAACGATCCCTTTTTTTCTCATCAAAAGTCTAGTTTCTCTTTATTTAAATCAAATCCTTCACCCACTTGTTGAACATGGACTGTTCTAAATTTTAATCGAGTCGCTCGATTCAATTAAAATAATGCCTCACTTATCAAGATTACTTTTCTGATAAATAGATTATGTGGAAATCTTGACTCTTAGAAAGGGCGCAGAACAGGTATTTTGGATCAAATTTAACTTTAAATTTGGATTTCTAATCATACAGTTTTACATCGTCGCTTCAAATGTTGTCCCTTGAATAAAAGGAAAGGTTTTCCACGACACACTTTGCTTATAAGACCCCTACACCAATAGGATGAGGTCCACTAAAAAGAAAAAAAATCTACACTGTGTTTTGAGAATTTGGGTTCTTAAATTGTAAAAATAATTTTTCCCCTGATCCTACGATTCTGATCTTTAGTACTAGACTCTCGCATATTAGATTTGAGCCTGTTGTCCGCTAATATCAGTTCAATTTTAGTGCCAAGAGAATTTTGAAAAGAAATAAGTGTTTCCCGGTAAAATGAACAGAGCCACAGAGATATGCTGGCAAAGACTCCAACGCACACAGGAATATTAAAATTAGAAGATATTTTATAGAGCCTTAGTCAAAATTTAAGAGTAATGGCTTTCAGAAAGGTTAGAAAAAAGTTGATACTTCAGCTCCAACCTCTCTAACTTCATAGTATTGATCCTAAATCAATTTATATTCCCAAAGCTAAATACATATTTCCGGTAGAATGGGATAATTTCTCTTTAGTGGAGCTCAATCCGAATTCATTCCACGACCATTGGTTGGATTAGCAGTTTCGTATTTAATCTTGACGTGGCTGAAAACATTCCACTTGGATTCCAGTTCTCCCTGTGGACGGACAAAGTTCCCTCTCGCCGCCAGAATAACTATATCTCGTACTGCCAAACTTTGCATAAAATAAGCATTTTGTACACAGAATCAAATGGATGAATATGTTTCATGAAATATTGATTCGCTATGCATAAATCGCGTCTTTCCGATACTGTGCCGATTCTTAAAGTTCGTAACATTGTTTTTTTCTCCATTTGAATCCATTAAAAGAAATCGAACCCATGTGAAACGACTTGTCTCGATAAGTATCGATCGTTTTTCATGCATTCGAATGGATAAAAGCCGGTGTTGCTAACTTGCATAAATGGCCGTAATTCAAATGAAATGCGAGGGAAGTGAAACGGGAGCATGCTATCACGAGAAAAAATAGAGTCTAGAGTAACCGGATGTTTCCGAAATCGAACTTTAGCACGAAATTTGAAAAAGAACAAAGAACACTTACCGAGGAGCAACAAATATAGCACATTGGACAAAATAAAGGCAATCTGCCATTTAAATGACTTTCTTTCAGGAATATTTTATCTCGCATGGGTAATGATGATCCATGGGCCTCCTTGACTTGAACTATTTTTAAAATCATCAACAAATATTCAAAAAGCAATATCGTTGATAGTGCTGCAATAGGAGTTGAAGGATAAAATTCAAAATAGAGATATTGTCTACTGCCTGGAAAAATCTCTCTTAGTTTAGATTTAAAAAAATGTTCTAAGTTTTTACAGAATAATGCTTTGAACGTGTCAGTGAAAATTATTTTAGGGCTAAAATAATGATTTCTAGCGCTTGAATGATAATGTATCTAAAAGTTAAAATCTCCATTCATGCGAACTTTAGATTATGAAACGTTATCAGGACTAATTATCCAAGAAAAAAAGTCACGAACATTTTTTATTTATTAAATATTTGTATTCAAAAGTTTGGAAACTCGAAAGATCCTTCTCAAAAGTATGCACAAAATTGTAAATCTTCTAAATCAGGCTATTTCTCAGAGTACCTCATTTAATTATCTGCGATTGGCACTCATGAAACCATCATACAAACGACGGCGCATAATTTGACCGTGAAAAAACAGTTAACGGAACGGAAATGATTCATTTAAATTATCACCATCCGACAGGGATGTTGTCCAAAATCCAACTTTTGTTCCCCCTCGCGGGTTTATCTCGTCCATTGGCGAGGCGTGAATGATCGATTTTCGACATTTCTCCCATTTGAAGCTATGCTAAACGATCAATTATTAAGGTTGCGAACACCCTGTTTATCGATCCTTTTCCATCGCTTTAAATTGGAGATTTGTCGATAGATCGCAAAGCACGCCACGCCACTGATCTTGTCCATTTTCAAATTCGAACTACGGGGAGATGGCGAAACATTCAGCTGCTCGTAAAAGCACTGCTCACGCCCGACTTGACTAATATGATGCAAGATGTTTGCTTATGAGCCGAGAGGGCCCTGTTTTTGCTTTGGTTCTTCTGCCGGAATAGTCGACCGGGGTCGCTTGAGCAAGCGGTAAAAAATTAAGCCACGCTACGATGAAGAGGGAGTCGCTTGAAGCAACTAGGCAGCACCAAGCAGCCTTATTTCGGTTTCCACGAGACATTGCTTAGCCCGTGGAAGGACTTCTTCAGAGCTCCGCTATCGGCCCAGGAGGAGTTAAGATACACGTCGTCATCATCTTGTTCAAGTTTCTGAAAAAATACCAAACGCATTCCTCACATTACTCAGCAAAAATGACTTACGTTCAAGGGAAAACAATACTTTCACAGCCTATTATAGGGGAGTGAGAGAGAAACATGAGGTAGACTAAAAGTTACTACCAGAGACAAAAGTTCTGTTACGAACAGATCACACACCACATTCTGAGCGATGAGCATTCTTGAGGAATCGCGTTGGAAAAAATTAAAAAAAGACAGTATAGGAAATAGGAAAAATTGTGATTTTCTCTGAAAAAGATACAGGAGATGAAAACTTTATGGGATCAGCCCCCAGTTCTGAGGACTTGTGTCGATTCATGTCGATCGAATTCACATCCTCCTTGATATTGAACATATAAAACTCGTTTTAATGAAATTCACTTTTTATCGAACGGTTCTGTAAGTGTTGAATTAGCGGTGAACATGATGCAGGAAAAAAGCGGGTTGAAGGCGGGCTACGGCGCTGTCCGAGCGCACACGAGTGCCCCCTCGCGGTCATTGCAAGTTGCATGTACTTATTTACATTTATAGCTGGAAACGTTAAGGTTAATGGCTGCGCCGAAAGATAAAGCGCCCGTTTAAAGCCAACACCGGCCATATTAAGTGAACGATAAACACATATACGACACTCCAAGTACCGCGCCCGCACCCAAATTCTTCTCGCAGCGTCTAAGTCTTCACTGCGATCCAACGACAGAGCTGTCCAAAGGGCGCGCTTAGATGTTGCCACTTTTTTGCTAATTTTCTTTAACGTCAGGTGTCCCTCACAATGAGAGTCATTGGTGCCTTGTTGAGTGATTCCCTGAAAATTGCACGAGTCGCGGTGCAATGGACTGTACAAGCTACGAAATTAAGCATTCTTATTATACATGTTTCTTAACCAAAATTTCTCGTAAAATACGATTCGCGCAACGTGAAATACTCAAATTGACTCCTAACTAAGATATTCAATGTTTCTCGACACGTAAATTCAAAGCTCCCGCTCATGGAAACGCAATGGTCCATGTGAGTCAAATCGCACATTAAACGTTACCGTGGCAAGTCTCTGCGATACGAATATTGAGTAACCTCAATCTTGAATCTTTGGATCAGCCACAGCAAATGGTTTACACTTTCAACGTTAAATGACAATGCTCAATCGAGAGACCAAAACCGTTGTAAGTCGCGATTTGACTCACGGAGGGTGACCCACTTTTTATGACCGGACATTTTTAATTTCCTGTAATCAATGTCAAGTAAAAACATTGATATCTTGGTTAAGAGTTGATTTCAGTAATTTCCGATGCAAGAATCTAGTTCTGCGTGAAATTCTGGTTGAGAACCAAAATGTATCATAATTTATTAATTCGAACCTCGTCGAAAGGTCCATTTTCATGAATCGGCGAGGACCAGTGACACACTAGTTCTGCCTTTTGTTGCAGAGGACAGAAAATACAAAAATGAAATGAAAAAAATGGGGACCGAATACTCTTTGATCGAGTTATCTTGATAAGTCCCTCGTCATCAACTACGAAATATCACGAATAGTTCGAGTGTCAGAGTCAACGAATTTACCCTTGACTATGAGAAACGGACTTCTTTATCTCGTGTAAATCAAAACAGCCACTTGAGCAGTCTCCTACATGTTTGCTTTGTTATGTTTTCAACCAATTAGAAACAAATTTACGAACTAAAATTGTCAACGATCATCCAAAATACGAGTAACAAAAATATAGTTTATTACACCATATCACGCTTCTGTGCATTAATGTTCTATATTCTGGATGCATTTCTGGCACCACATTTTCATCACAATTTGAATTAAATAATGATGAAATATCAAATCATGCATGGTTTTAAAAATGGTCCTTTACAACAAACGATCAAACAGGAGCCGCACATCGTATGGTCAGTGAGACTCTACGCAGTGGCAGACGATAGCAGTCAATTTGCATACGTTAGTGCGCCTTCATTTTCGTCTGATACTGTGCAGTACTTCAGTGATAGAATAGTTGCTCAGAGCGCCTTGTGCAGCATCGCTTCGACTTGATGGCAGAGGGCCATGATTACCGCTGAGATAACAATCTAGTGCGTGCGCATTCCGCAGTGACACCTTTTTGGATCACCGATGGTGAGGTAAAAAACATTCATTCCTCAATTTGCGACGTTGCAAGTTTTTCATTGCTTATTTTATGAGCCTAAACCAATACGACAGCTCTAAAATCCGCCGACATTTTTCCTAGGTAATTATGACCAAAAATCTTATTCCAATGGATCATTAAAGTCCACGTGTATGCTTTGATTTAAAAAAAGGGAATAGAAGTATGAGTAGGACCTTCGAAAGGACAAAAACGAATCTGAAAGTTTGAGCCCTCAATGTAAACGGAGTTGAAAAAGCGCTAGAACAAATTGACTGACGATCTCTGTTACATCCTGCTCACCTTTGGGCTTTTGCGTCTATGACGTAGAGATTATGAATTTTGATTGGACCAGGTTGAGCCAAAAGGAACCAAACCACATCAGCTATTGGAAAATGGAATTGGGCAATTCAATTTTGTACATGATTTGTTGTGGAAAATCTTTCTTTTTGCGAATTTCAGCGAAATTTCTGCATAATATAGGAAGCAAATTCCTTGAACGTTTCAAAAGAGTCCGCACAAACGTTCTCTTGTAAAAAATATAATTGCTCAGTTAAATGTGGCAATAATTGATGTGGTTTGGTTCGTTTCTACTAAACGCGGTCCAATTATATCCCTCCAAATGATCACAAGAGAAAATAAAGAGAGGAAATATAAAAGTAAATACACGAATGAAAAAAGAAGCATCAACACAAAAAAGTAAAAGAGCGACCATATCGCAATCTAAGTTTGTAAAATAACAACTTAATTTGGGGAAAAGGCTGTTAAGAAAAAAAAAAAAAAAGCAAAGGATGAAAAAGTTAGGTTAGGATCCAAACGCATCGATTTTGAGACTGAACAGGAAAAGAATAGATAACTCTTTGGCAAAGTTTTTGCAAATTTTGAAGCTGTCGACTCCATTTGAGGCCTCTCTCGCTACCTTTAAATTTTGAAAATATGCCAGAAAATTCAACATTTTTGTCGACCCCCCCCCCCCCCCCCCCCCTGGCTCCAAGTTTCAGAAAGATCGCCGGGATAGAAGACGACCTGTGGACGCAGCAGAGCTTACCCATTGACAGAGGATGAGTTGAGGAACGATAGCGATCCTAGGCTTTCTTTGCTTAGGAAGTCTTCAGTCATCGCCGCTTTTAGTTGGCGCCCAAAGCTATCCACATCGTCTCTGAAAGAACCAACAGACAAGGAAGAATAATTACTGGCATGCTATGTAAAAATAAGGCTTTCACACTTCAATTGAAAACTCGTTTTCAAAGAGGACCTAAACACAATATGGAGACCGTGCGAATCCACAAGTTTTTACCCGTCTCTAACCCTAAAATGCTCCTAGTAGGTCAATTTCTTGGGCAGTCAGGTATATTCTTTCCGCTAAATGATGCACATCAACCCGTCACAGCCGTAAAATAGCTATCTCATTTTATTTATTTTTTTCCCAGCTCAAGGACAATTTTGCCTCACCGCATCACATTTGTCTCTGCCTAGAACCCATACCTGCATCTTTTAAAACAGGAACAATCCCATTGTACATTATAGAGACCGAGACAAAAGGCATCACAAGATCGATCGCTCGCGCGTCAAATCCGATATCGTCCCACCTGTCCCATTAAAAATTCCTAACGTAGCGGTTAAAATCCCTCCCTCTCGGGGGTGGGGGTGATGAAAGCATCCCTAAAGATTTGAGTGCAGTTGAGCGGGCGCTCAGCGCTCCCTTTGTAATTCTAGAATCCCTCGTGCCACCCCTCTCCCCTCAAAAGAGCGAGGCTCAATTTTGAATCAAAACGACACCTCCCCCAACTGCCAAGGCCAAAACAACGCAACTCAAATGCTATTTACTAGCAAATGCGCGGTTTTTGAGATATGACGACGGCAGTTTCCACCGTGAATACCCCCCCCTCTCCCTTCCACTTGGGCGTTATTATCCTCGCGAATCAAATTCAAATTCGTTGCGGCGTATCATCGAAGCGAGCTCGCCGGTAACGTGTTTCCGTTATTTTTATTGGATCGTCGTCCCCGACGAATTTCGCTCCGTTTTTGTTTTATTTGCTTCGGCGTTTCCGCTTTTGGATGGTCCGGATTACGGAGCGGTTGTCAAGTTCGATGAGCGGAAGCGGTTAGATGCACATGTCGGAAGACTCGAATTGCCGCCCTGTCACCTGGTGTCCCTACGCAGGGATAATATTCCCATATGAATCCTTTTAAGATAGAAAAAAGACTTACAATGCCAGGAAGCCGCTTTTTCCCGAAAAAACTTGGTTTCTTTTTGCAACACGTACCCAGAAAAATAAATTTAAAGGACCCCACTATATCCTCCCAGGTCTCGGGGACAAGACGTCTTGGCAATTTTTTTTCTCTCTCTTTTTTCGTTTGTAGTGCTAGAGACCCAATGGCAAATCAACCCACCATATAAATTTCTAATTCGAGCCACCAGAGCACTGCTCTGAGTCCCATTGAATAGATCATTGGTGAGCTCTATTGTTCTATTTTATGCTGCGAAGAGGAAATTAATGTTATCCTTTTATTTTTGGCAGTTATAAAAGTGAAAATGCGAAAATTAAAATGACCTCAGGACTGGAATACTCTAAAAATTGCGGAATTTCCGGGTCTTTGGAAGCTAATATTCTAAGCAAGATACCCTTGTGAGGCAGAAGTCAAGTTTGAAGATAAACGCTACTTTCGCTTAGTGATGATTGATGAGGAATTTGCCGCGATAAAAATCTGCCAAATAATGAGCGTTTCGAGTGAGCTGAAAAGACTGAGCGCTTACGAGGTGCAGGTGCATTCAATGCGACGGCGCTGTCGCCGTATCACCGCGGCATCCGGCCAGCGCCTAAAAACCTACAAGGATACCTCAGGCATTGCGCAATGCGTGAAGGCACGCCGCGGCGCGGCGCACGGTGGATCGAAACCTGCAAAAAGTCGGACATGGGCGATTCTCACAAATAGTCATTTCATTGATGTAAATGTGTTCCCAAAGAGTTATATTTTATGATACAGGTATTGGTTTTCAATTTTTTAACCCCAGTTTAACGCACATAGCCTCCTAAAGTGGCTCAGGCGGCAATCGAAAAATGTTGCCTCACTCGGGACAAACCGTTCGCCTGTTGGTATTTCCCTCCGATAGATTTATGACAATTTCTGACTAAAGTAGCTTGTTCTCCTCCTTAAGTAGGATATATTTCACTAATAACAAGTTAAAATATCGCTATTTTTATAAGCGATATTCTTGCTTAAAAGTACCCTCCTCAATACCGTAAAAATAATAATATAGCTAGACTTTTAACTAGCTATTTCAGCGTATTTCAGGGAAACCTTTGTATAGCAGTGTTAACTGATCCCTGAAGATTCATTATCAAGAAAAATTGGCTGCTCCAAAGTGCCCCTTTGGGAATAAAGCTTAAATGATTTTGAAAAAGTGAAGTTCATAAAATGGTGGCTCGAGGGAATTCGAATTTCATAGGTCTGCGGCGAATAAACACCGGGCATTTGATAGGTGATCTGTATGTAATTTTTAGTGCTGAGTCCGAAAATGACCTAGGTTTTTCTCCTACACCCACCGATTTTCCGGAAAATTGAGATTTTCCACTTAAAATGGATTTTTCGGGAAATGTGATTTTCCGGAAAACTGGTGCATGGTAAAGAGAAACCAAGGTCATTCTCGAATCCAGGAGACAAAAATACATGAGAAAACATGCCTTGCGTGGTTAAAAAAATGTCCACGTTGTTTCAGATAACGGGGTTTTCCTCTCAAATGTCCTAATCGACGCATATGATACTAATCCGTTTGTTTTGCGTCTGAAAAGACGGGAAAATTAAATCAAGTTGGTGTCTAATGGAGCATTTTTCATCTACTACTTGATGCTAAAGTCAAAAATGGCCTACATTCTTTTCTATCTTCTAACTATTTCCCAAAAACTCGCGTTTTTTTGACATCGGATGTTTTTTATGTATAATTTCTTCGGAAAATTAGAAGTTAATAGAGAAAATTGAGGTAATTTGAGCTTCAGCAGGAATCATTAAGCCGAAGAAGCTCCATTAGATACCTAAGTATAAATAAAGGCAGTGTACAATGGTGACTCGCGGGGCCTTTAATTAGGAAGGCTCGGATAATACATGATTTGTGTTGATTGATGTGTATTTGATTTGCATTTTTCTCTCACATTTTTCCCCCTTATCATTTTCTTTTGTTAGAAAGCTAAAAAGGTGCCCCAGGAATGAAGGGGAAAGGAGATCCTCTGTTTTCCTCTCAACATTTTCGGATTTTTATTAATTCATTTTTTGGGGGAGAGGAGGGGGAATGGTAAAAGAGATGAGTAATATACGTTTTATATACGATATCTAAACATTTTACCGGAGAGAAAAGTCCATTGAACACTTAAAACTCCGATTGAAATGAGTGTAGAAAGCTTAAACTTATCTGTTGTTAAACAATATCTCTTTATTTATCTGAAATTGTGCCAAAATACATATCTAAACCCAATAATCAGTAAAATAGTCATCAAAAATGAAATCTGCGACGAAAAATACATAAGAAGCATGTATCCTGATTTGTTTTATGAGCGCAAACACTACGTAAATGAGCAAACCAAGTCGCGTGATGTGCCATGTCCGGCCTGCCCTATGACTCGATCCACCGTGCGGCGCTAGGATGCGACTATTCGTGTACGAGGGATGTCCAAATTGCATAGCGGAATAATTGAAGGCGTTCTGACTGACCGCAAGCGTGCGATACCTCAGAGGTAGCATGCTTCTTGAGTTAGAGACCCCATACTAACAATCTAACATCAATGTAATCGAACCAAAGACATAAAGACGGAGGGCTAAAAGCAAAAAATGAAGCTTCCTTTCAACCACCTCTACTATTGGCTAGAGGATTGGCGGGGAAATCGGGACAAGTTTGAAATTCAAATGTAGGGCGGGAGCTAAATAAAATTGCGGAAACAAAGTATTCTAGGTTGATTTTTGCCCAAATTCACTTACCCACTCATATTTTTTTAACTTTAGGTTAGTTTTGGTCCATCTTCGACCGATTAATTTCATTTGGGAGTAACGGTCATCTAGCACTGTAACGGCCTGTTTGAACCTGCAGAACCACCATGAGCAGAAGAAAAACTAACTTTATCTGAGATTACTGCCTGTTACTGAGCAAAAGTAGGTGTATTATATTAGGACGCAGACCGAACTTTCTTAATATAATCGTTTTAGGCATTTAAAACACGTTTAGAAGAAGAAATAAGGAAAAATCAAGAGGACAAGTTCAAATCAAATTTCCGTTTGCCGCCATGGATTCCCGCGCTCATTTACACACTCACACAAGCACCCAGCGCCAAACCAGGCTTCACTTTTTTCCCGTGCTTTTAGATACGAGCACTCCGTCTTTATGTCTTTGAATCGAACTGAGACAAACGTTAGGTTAGGCGGTCACCGATACTTTTTGCCTGTTGATGATTGGTGGGCTACTTTTTGAGCAAAAAATCAAATACAATTCGCCTAACGATGACAGATGTGTGTTGAGATGAGTAAGTTGTTAGGCGATTTTTGGCAAGTAAAGACTTCTTATCCAATGGCTCACTTTTTTTTATTTTTCTTTTTCATTTTTTTTTTTTTTACTACCCACAAGCGCTACTCTTGCGCTTCAGTCCCGTCCCCCTCCATCCCTAACAACCAGCCCCAGGCAACCACTGTTTAGGACCGTCAAACTCGGATCGCCTGGACGAGAATCGAACCCAGGACCTCTCAATCATAGAGCTAGCGCTACAACCACTACACCATAGTAGGCCGACAAGCCCTACCATGGTAAGTATCTTTGGCTATAACGATAGAAAATACAACTTAATCGGCCCGAAACATTTATAAAGAAACAACTTACAACGGTACTAAGGCCGCAAATAATGAACATATAATAAAAGAAAAAACCCGGGACGTTTCGCAGAGATCACACCCGCATTTTCAACCGGCAAAAAGAAAATTATAAGAAGGACACTATAAGCCTCACCGTTGTTATTGTGAGACTGATCGTGCAACCAAAATAAACGAGTAAGCGCAACTTGAAACAAAGCACATCGAAGCAGAGCTTACTCAGGTGTTCCAGCTCCATCTAGGCCCGAAAGGAAGAACTGGTGATAAATGCTACTGAGTCCATCCACATCAGCGCGGTAATTACAAACT